TATTCACTCTTTTTAAGTATATTCTCTATATATCAAGAGCAAAATACAATGTTCCTCTGCTAAGAGATTATCAAGCTCTTCTTAAACATTATGAAAATATAGAATATGTTATAGCTGAAAAAAGATCCAAATTGACCTGTCATTTTAAAAAAATATGAGAAAATCCGTGTTCTGCTTCACAGATAATCCGCGGATTTTTTCAGTGACTACTCTATACTTTTTAGCAAAAGTTAATTGTAACCCTTTTTATTTTCTCTTTCCCCAAAAGACAAACTCCTTAGTGACTTTTAGTGTTAATTGTTAGTTAAGTGTAAGTTTTGTAAACGTTGTATTTAAATTATTGTATGTGTTGTTATTGTATTTAATAAAAAATGTTAATGAAAAAAAAAAAGAATACCGACAACTGACCTGATCTGATCTTTATTTATATACGTCACGTGTAGTGTCTACCGGTAATCGTCTCGTGGTTAACAGAGCAGACAGAGCGCTTCACTTCACTACATGTTTTCTGCTCTGAATATATTTATATAGTACCTTATATGCTACGAGGTGACACTCCATGCATATCCAACTGTGTACTTTTGGTCATGGCAAGTCGAAACTGGTACCGTTTTAAAGCTTGTTTCTATTTTATCATCTTTCTGCTGACAACTCCATTCTACTGCATATTAACTGCTGTTCTCTGGACATCTTTTCATATTCTCCACGCGTTGAATATCTACACCAAGCAGGAAGCACCAACGCTTCTCCCACGGGACCTCCGAAAAACGGTGCTCTTTACAGATTCTGTGAATACAAAGACGTTGAATGTGATTCGGTGTCTTGGTAAAGTTGGACATCGTATTATTGTCGTCGATTCTAATCGATACAAACACACTGGCGCTAGTTGGTCGAGGTATGTGGCAAAAGTCATATACGTAGCACACCATGCGGGCCCAACTACAGAGAAGTACATCGAAGAAGTCGTGAAAATTGCCCTTCAAGAGCAAGTAGATTGGTTTATTCCCATCAGTAAGACACAGAATGCTATCATAAACTACATGGTCGAGCAAAGACTGGCCAAGCTGCGACCAAGCATTAGGAGCTTGGGTTTTGGTGACCTTGAGTTGGCGCGACTGCTTAACCACAAACTCGATTTTCTTGATCATTGTAAAAAGATTGGCTTGTCGGTGCCCGACTTTCACGCTATCTATGGGATTGAGGATTTGCAAAAGCTAAGAGAAATAAACCTGTTCAATGAAAAACACTATTTCTTAAAGCCAATTGACGACTTCAGCGAGGATAGACTGTGCTTCAAGCGAATACCTGGCGATGAGGGCTCCTTCAATAAGTACTTAAAAGAATACGAACCGAAAGTCAGCTCAAAGCCCAACTACTTTGTATGCGARTACATAAAAGGCACCGAATTCACATCCAACGTAGTCTGTCGACAGGGAAAGGTGTTGTCGCTGGAAACACTTCCAACRTGCRGCYYCCAAACGGAGTTTGACAACGTCCCCAACCAAGCCGTGAGAAATTGGACTTTTGAGTTTTGCAGCAAAATGAAGATCAGTGGAGGCATCTGTTTTGACTTTTTGCAAGACGATGTGACAGGAAAAGTCTACTGCATCGAGTGCAACCCACGTCTTCACTCAAGCATTTCGCTTCACCACGGTAATCCTGAGCTGGCCAAGGTGTTTCAAGCAGCTCTAGAACCAGAGAGTTTGCAAGATGAAACAATTTCTTTTCCTGTTGAGCCTTCGTCTACTTCGCCTCGCGCCTATTGGCTGTACCTTGAGTTCCACAAGCTATTTTCTGGTCGTCAGGGTGTTGGTGGGTTATTGTGGTCGTTGATGAATGGTAGAGATGCAGTCTTTGATAAGGACGACCCTATGCCTTTCTTGGTGTCAAATACCATCAGTGCTATGATTCAACTTAAGAGGGCAATCCTCAGCGGCGCTCGTTTTGGAATTTATAATCCCGTGATTGGAAGATTGAGTCGTTAGAATCTGTAACGTAAAATATATATAAATAGGTAAMTTTGTTTCATTAATTCATTAATATAACGAGGCTTTCCGTCGCAAATTATGCAAATTAGGTCAGTATTTTTTTGCCGCTTTAGAGCATCAAAATGATAAAAAAGAAG